CCCCACTGAAGAAACAGAAATCCTGTGAAGCTATAGCATACCTGCAGTTCAAATCCAAGTTTGTACCAAAATAAATGTAAGACTAGAACTTTTTATTTTTCAGATTTTTTATTTTATTCATTTGGGAGAAGGGGATAAAATATTTTCTGTATAAAATCCTCAGCCCTTTGCAATGTCCTATTTATCAGGCTGTCAAGAAGAAACAGTTTCCACTCTGCCTGCAAAAGCTATACTGAGGACAGAATAATGGATTTAGTGTGAAAAAGTGGGATCTTCAGATTACAGAATTTAAAGATGTCCAATGTTGTAAGTTTTAATGGTGTTACATATTTGAGTCTACCCCTATTACCTTGTCAAAGTCAGGATTACAATAATCCACAATGAAGCACAATGAAGAATATACATCAGTCATATATCGAAGCCTTTTGGTAACTCTTTGGTCAATTTAAGACAATTTAATTAAATCTGGTTACAGAAAATTTTAGTGTTTTCATGTGCAAAAACACACCTCAGATGTGCCCGACTCCATCAGAAGTAACTGCACTTGAAAATAAATCCTTAGATAACTCCCTGGAACCACTCAAGCCCTCAGGCCAGGGCTTGCAGTGTGGAGAGGAGGAAATAGAAAATGCCTCATCAGCAGAAATTCCAGACCAAATTTCTCCTTTTGTTGCCTAGAGAGCCATTACAGACCTTACTCTCTCATTGAGAAGAGGGTTTTCTTTGCAGGAAGAAAAGGATACTGCTTTTTCAAAAACCACCATTCACACACACAATGGCTCTGAAGTTGCTCTCATGCCTTTCCCCTGAAGTCATGTGTAGTTGTGCGGATGCTGTTTACTCACAGTATGCAACCTTCCTTCCAACATCTATTTGCTAAATGCAATTACCACATCCCCTTGCACTTCCTGTCACTAATGATGAGCGTCAAATAGGCTGCAAAAGTAAGGACAACACTTAGACCTACCAAATTCAAAGCCATACTGGACTCTCTCCTTCATCCCCCTAACCTGAGTTTTCTCCTGGAAAGCTGACTGCCAAAATGAGATGAGCAAAGAGAGGGCAAGAGCACAGAGCATGGAACACAGTGCTGGATGAAGACCTCAGGGTAGCTCACCAGTCCCACAGAAAGAGGACTGGGATTTCCCAGGCATTGCACTTCTCTCACTTCTATCCCGGGCACTTCCCAGACCTCAGGAAGCTTAGTTGTTCTGACAAGTTATTCCTCACTTGCAGAAAACTGGCTATACTTTCATGTACAAAACACATCTGGCAGGTGTGATTGTACCTTTCCTCACATTCAACAAGCACACATCCTTACATGGAAAGATGGAATACAGTACTCCCTGGACCAAACCTTGTAAAGTGGGGTAGCAAAACAATGGCAGAGCTATGCTGAAATGTTGTAGCAGATGTTTTTGACACTGCTCTGTCCCAGCAGGTGAAGGAGGGAGGAGATGCTCCACAAAGAGCTTTGGCCACCATGAGTGGAAAAAGAAGAATGGGATAATTTTTGTCCTGTCATCCCAGATGCTGCCTCTCCTCCTTTCTGTCATGCTTGCCTGCCATCCATGAAACCACTTCAGTGATCAGTTCTGGCCATCAACAAATCCTCACACAGGATGCTGTGCACCACTGCTTTTTGTTGGGATAGATCCAGGGCATATCAAAAGCATCTCTGAGTCCATCACTGACTCCAAAGGGCTCTGGAAGCTGTGGAGTGTGGCATCTTTGTACTACTATTTAACAACTAATGCAAACCAAGGCTGGGAGACAGCCTTCTGAAGGCTTCTTTCAGGATGCTGTCTGCAAAGGAGCGTAGGGAAAAGGAGAATCTCAGTCTCCTGTGAAACAGATATTTCTGGAGTTCACTTAAGTTGACAAAATGAATTAAGCATTTATATTCTAGCTTGTAGAGTTATGTGTTGAATTTTAACCTTTTACTTAAGAAACCTCTGCCATAAGTACAAATGGATATAAGAAAATGCAAATTTCTGAAGCTTATTACACAAAGAACAATGCCTAAGGATACAAAGAACCCAGATAAAGAAGCTTTCCTGTCTTCAAGCCTATCAAGACTGATAGACTACTCAGATAAGCACCAAAAGACCAAAAGCACACTCGCAAAGGAAAAAAGTTCAAAAGTTCAATCATGAAGAAGACCACAATCTTCAGCCTCAAGAGACCACCAGAGACCCCCGCAGGACCAGGCAAACCACACATGCCCAGAAGGGTGTGGACCTATTGAGCATGAGAGGTGAGGACAGGTTAAATATGCATGAAAAGTTGTGGAATGTATTGCATATGGAACACCTTTGTGAATAAAGGTGTGGGTCAGACTGAAGCTCAGGTCACAAGTTTTTAGAGAGATAATATCTCACTTGCCCGTGTGCCCAGCACACATGACAATACATACCCACTTCATAACTACCCCAGGTTGTGGAGTCTATTTATTTATTCCGTGTATTGCTTCACCTGCACATCCTAGTTAATTGTTTACATGTTTAACAAAATGTACTGCACCAAATCTTCACAGACATTTGGTGACAAATGTCAGACTGTAATGACACCTCTTACAATATAATAAAGAATCATCCAGAAAGCTGCCTGCATTATTTGGGAGAGGGCCGCAGATTTGATAAGTGGATCAAAATTACTTTAATGATTCCCTATTTAGCCTTTAAATTCACTCATAATGTGACATTGTATTTCCAATTAGGGAATTAAGATGTTGATTAAACATTTCTGTCATTTCAGATTAGCCATCACATGTTATCTCCTTATTATTAAAACTTTCATATTTTGAACATAAAAAGGAATTTGTAGAGTCAGGCACAGGGTTTAAGTTTTTATAATGAGCCATTCATCTTCAGGTCAGGTTCCATAATACTAACTGCTGTAAGTTAGTTCAGTGGGAAGAAAATGAAATCGGAAAAAAATGGAAATTAGAATAACAGCTGAAACTGTGTCATATTTGTACAGACTGAAGCATGATGGTATTTAAAGTGCCCAAACTCCTTGTGACACCTCTGCCACCACAATTTCATGAAGGCACACTGCAGAGTAGGCAGTTAGCAAATATCTACTGGCAGGGCATCTGACATGACAATCAAGGCTCAGCATTATTTTCTTAAGAGCAAATATCTCAAAACTTTTAATAAGAGGACAATATTCCAGTGAGGGAGACAGCATATTCTGGGTGACAGGCCTGTGATAATTTTTTACTGACTATCACTTTTCCTATTATGTTCAGCTAGCACGGCTGCTGCTGGATTGTTCTCCCGCAGAAAAACACTGTCAGGAAAGCCGGCAACATTATTTTTAGCTGTCCTGCTTTTCACACCAACAGCAAGGTGTCACACTGCTAATCAATTCACATGGTTGCTTCAAAGCAACAAAAATAGGATCTGTCCTAACCCAGGTAATCCAGCACAGGACTTGGTGTCTGGGGCAGCTCCTCTGAAAAAAAAAAAGCACTTACTTTAGTCTTAAAAGGACAGTGGGAAAGGAACAACACCTCCAGCGTGCTTCAAGATTTACAGGGACTTTTCAGATGGAATGGCTACTATCAATCATCTCTGCACTCCCAGCAGGAAATTAGATTTCCTGTTGTTTAATGCTACAGTGCTTGACATAAGTCTATGAATTTGTAGTCCCAGTAGTGCTACATTAAAAATCTGTTGTGTGGACAAAGAGGGGAAGAATGTATCAGAGAACATCTTTTCGGACACTACCTCTCTGGTTTTGACTGATTTTTAATTTAATGTTGTGTTTTAATCAGAAAATCAACTTTGTGAAAGGACAAGGAATGTACATTTATGAAGCAAAAAATCCTTATGCCAGTCTTTTCTGCGGGAGGAACTATTTATGTCACTGTCATAAGTTGCCAACCAGGCCTATCATTCATTTCTTCAGAGGACTAAAAGTCTTCTGAGCTGCTTGTGAAAGCAATAAATTTGAGACCTCTGATTCCTGATTGTTTTTATTGGATGTTTTTCTGACCTCATTTCTGCTTTTCACTCATTTTTACTTTCTTTCTCTAGCTGTTGGAATAAAGCAGTGACACATAGTCTCCTTCAGAACAACAATTAATCCTTTGATAGTTCCTGATACTTCTCTTATGGAAGAGCTCAAGTTGCCTTAGAACTTGGGCCAAAGAGTGAGCGTTCCAAGCTACATCAGGCAGGTGGCTCTGAAGGTGGTTATTTACAGGCAGTATCGCCTTTTTACCATTTACATCTGATGGAACCTTTCATCCTCCCTGGAAACAGAGTCGCTTCCCTTGCCAGCCTTCTAAGCACCAGCTGAGCAATCATGGATTTCAATAATGAATGTTGGCCAGTCTATCAGATTTAGGCTAAGTAAAAGAAGAACCACAAACTGTCATCTGTATTGATTAAAATAATAAAATAATAAATTAATAATTAAAACCCTCACCACACCAACTGCCTTTAACAAAAGACATGGAACATTAACTGCAGATTCACTGCTAGACAATTCTCAGCCCTTGTGCTAGCCAAGTTTCTTCATTACACTTAAAGGTCAAGCATGCCTCATCTACATTTTATGTTCCACCTGAACTGATATCAGAGCTAAGTGTTGCTTCCCAAGCCCATGAACCATCAGACTGTGAGATCAGAAATTTCCCTGGATGAGTTTTAGTCCCTGTGCAGCACCAAGATGTAGAGAGGTCTGAGGAGGATGAGCAATTACCTGCTGATGACCTACACCTGTAGCTACTGCCCACCACAGGACTAGCCAGAAAAACAGAGAAGTCTTGGATACAGTGTCTCTACCTGTTCTTGCATGCTTGCACCTGAGATATCGGTAGCTCAAGCAGAACTTTTTTCAGGGGGATCTGATGGCACTAAGCAAGAAGATGGGTATCTAAGTGATCAACTAAGACAGCATCCTTTGCTACAAATAAAATTGCTAACAAATCACTTAATTCCTGCAGAGCTGCCTTCTAGGTAGGCTTGGCAGCTGAGTGCTGCACTCACCTCAACAAAGATGAAGCAGGGGATGATGGAATAACTTCTCTGGGTATTGTTTCCTAAAGCCATTTCTCATCACACTTCTCAGGGAGGCACTGTTCAAAAGTTTATGTCCTGAAAAAGAAAAGACAGAGGTATTTCAGTATATTTCACATTTTTGCAAACTCCAAAATGAGGTTCATAACACAGAGCACTGACCTAATAGACCAAGGACACAGACTAGTAATAACTTCAAAGTCTAACTGTGTACACAACACCCTAAGAAAACTCTCCCTTTGCAACACAAAAGAAGAGGCATAGGTTACAAGATACATCATATACAAATCAAAGGGTGATAAGGAATACAATAGTTTTCCTTAAATACAATCCACTTTCAAGCAAAAGAGTCTTCCTCAAAATTGTAAAATCACATTTTCAGCCCACTGACCTGGCTAAAGTGAGTTTTAAACCAGGAGATTTTGGTAATTGACTTTTAAACTTGCACTTATAGTACACTGACTATACACATGATCAGAATGTTTATCTGTAGAAATCTGCTCAAGATGACAGCATGTGTTATGCACAAAAACTCTCTAGCCGTAACAAACAAATGCAATGAAAATGCAACGAAAATGCAATGAAAACCTGGGCCTTTTCTGCAGTCTTTCTGTCCTGATACAAATTCATACATTAACGCACCAAACTCTAACCACTTAGCATTATTCAGAGCTACTGTCTATCCTAATTAACTTAACCTTATAACACTGTGCTAAGACACACTTTTTGCTTGAAAAGTAGAAGAAGCAGAAAAAAGAAGACTAACACAAATTTTACCGACAGAATGTGTCTTTTTCTGCATGCATGAGGCAGCACATCAAGAAACTAAGTCTGGTTTAAATGCCTTTACAGAGAGATACAGAGTAGGAGGGAAGCTGGAAAAGCAGTGTGCAGCCCAGAGCTGCCAGGTGCAGGATTGCACAAAGCATGAGACACAGGAGAGAATCAAAATCCTCTGCTATCAGTTTTAACCTGAGCACAACAAGCAAGAGCACAGATTCAGGTGGGTCCAGCCTCACTTCCAACACTCACAAAGAAACTCTGCCCTGATGACAAGCACCTCCATGGGCCAGGGCCAGGGAGGAGGAGGAAGATGGAAACGGATGTATTTTGCAGAGGATGCTTTGCCAGCATCTTCCCATGACTCTGTGACCTCACTGACACCTGGGTGGCAATTCAGGCCTTGGCATATGAAGCCTGTGAGGTTCACAAAGGGTTCAGTGCTTTCTCACCAGCTCTCAGCAGAGTTACTGGCAGAAATACCATGATCAGCACAAGTGAGTTCACTTGAGGATATGATGGAGGAGCTGGATCAGCTGCCAGTGGTTGTCACCTGCACCATGATGCAGGCTCTTGTCTTACCACGTATGAACTACTTAGTGTATTCCTTATCTCAGCTCTTCACAGTTTGACCCAGAGTCATCAAATACACAATGTATATGATGGATTTAGGCACAGCAGAGCTACTGTGACTCCAGTGTTTCAAGAATAGTTTCTGTTTCAAGAATAGCTTTTGAACTACTAAGCATTGCAAAATACAGTTTCAGGGCAAAAGTAAATAGTCAGGAATGTCACCTGTGACATACCTCATATACTCCCATCTTACACGGTATCCCATTCTAAAATACAAATATTCTTGAAACACCTTGTTTTCCAAACAGACTTCTACTTTACTTATTGGATAAAATGGGGTTTGTCTCAGAGGTTAGTGTCATTGCTTAAAAAAAGACAAGGTAATCAAACCTCATTTGGACTTTGGAAAAAAAAAAATCAGTAATTCATTTTTTAACAGCATTTTTAATACCCCCAGCTCTTGTGCTATGTGGCTTGGGAAACACATGGAACCTGGTGAAATAACAGGTTAAAGCGTCAGAGCAGCTTACAGAGCGTTATTCAATGAAACTTTTCTAAAGTTAGACTACGCTTAACCAGCATAAGGTTAGAAATAACCAAGATTTTCCATACCACTATACTGTAACCCCAAGCTATGCCTTCAGTTGCAACTGATGTGTGTTCCTAACCAAAATAGAGGGTTACAAATCAATCCAAGAATTTAGACACCTTTCACAACAGATGACTGAAAGCAATTTAACAAATTGGCAAAGAAACTCAGGGTTCATAGTCGTATAAAATTACCTGATTTAACACTAGGTGACCCCTGATTTTACAGATGTTTATCACTATGTCTGTTCCTTGAAGCTTATTGTGCACCACTGGTTCAAAAAACTTCAGTGGCTATGGGAAAGCATTTTGCATGCCAGCTTCTCTCATATGTGATGACACATTTGTGTCAGGCTGAAGCAGTAAGAGACCAAATGGTTGGATGATCAGCTAATTCCCAGCTTGTGGGAAAACTCTCAGATACCAGTGCTTGTTGTTTTCATGAAGTTACTTGACAAAAGAGTAAAGGGAAGCAAAGGTGCAGTCTTGGTGGGAGCATCATTTTTTGTCGCTCTTCAGTTGCCAATAAGTCCTCTAGGGATACTGACAGCAAAACACAGATTACAGGAAGCCCCAGATGCTTCAGCCTGCAGAGATAACCCAGTTTTGCTCAAAGAACCATAATAAGATGTCAAAGAAGTTTTGGTAGAAATCTTGTTCTCTAATCCATGCAGATCTCTTCACATTGAACAAACTTTTGTAGTCCAAAGCCTCGGACCAAAGCAATGGCAAATGAAAGCTATAATATCAGCATCAGCCTTCTCCATTTATCCTTTCTATTTTTATCAACTTTACTGAATTGCTAAGGAACTCATGTGAGCAAAACTGTAAGAGTCTTTTTGGATCCCAGTAGGTATGACCTTTTCAGGCCTGGTATGTTATCACAGCACGAGAGTAGAACTGGTCAAACCTGACTAATTAGGGACCATTGTAGAGGGAATACTAATAATCTGAAGCTTTGGTATTATGAGGTGCTTCTACTCTTAAGACAATATATATAATTGTATAATGCAATATTTGTGAATTAATTAAAACTAGTTCTCACCTTGCTCAATTTACCTCACCTGGGCATTTTCAGAAAGTCCCATATCTACAGCGCAGGAGGTTATTGCCTAGCATCTCCCAGGAGAACAAGTGGAGACAGAGAATATAAATAAGTGAATTGAAAACTGAATGAAAAGGACAGCAAAGAAAATGAGAATTCAAGCTGAAGATATTTTCTTGCCCCAGGAGTCTATCCAGGGGAATGGCTTTCAGAATGCCCTATTCAGGTATGTTCTAAAGCCTTTTATGTGAGCATGTGGCAGATAGCAAGAAGGACATATCTAGGACAAACTAGCATTCACTGAGCCTTTATAGTGTAAGTTCCTGCAGCAGACACAGCACATTCAGCTGTTGTTCTGTGTGATCAGTCATCAAACCAGTTAATTTGTGGTCTATTCCACTGGAGACCCTATGGTTAAACCTGTGTTTTTAAAGCCATGTCCTGCATAGGTAGGAAGAGAAGATGAACAATGTATTTTGCATATTGATATATTGAATATCTGGGCTTCTGTGGAAAATATTCAAACCAACAAACCAGACATGCTAACAGGTCCTGTTCATCACAGTTTTCAACTATGTTTCAGTTAATCAGTATCAATGATTCACCAGCCTGAAATCCAGGAGCTGCTGCACAAACCACAGCAGCAGCAAACACACTGGCACATGTGGGACACCTCACAGCAGAATCTCAAATCTTCCCTGACCAGGGGTGAGAAGAGTAATTACTGGTCCTATGGTAGCAGGATGTGATGCAAATGCAAAACAAAAAAAAGGATTTCTGTCTCTTAGTTTTATGATCTTTTCAGCAGCAGCTAACATAGTTCCAAAACAAGGTGTAATTATTACACTAGAAGGAACACCAACTATTTCTGTAACAATGTAAAAGATACTTGAAACATCAGTATTTCCTTATGCAAATTACTTTAGCCTTATGTTAGCAATTTGCAAACCTCTGTTGGCAATTGGCTTGAAATTATAAAGATCTTTACTCTCATTAAAATATGAATTCTTTTCACAAGTAAAAAAAATCATCAAAACCTCTGCACCATTCCATCAACAATCAGTTTGCCCAACTGAAACACAAATTGCTTATGTCAGACCCCCATTCAGTTAAGGAAACAAATTAAAATTAATACTGCTGCTAACAATGATTATCCCAGCTTTGGCAAAGAACTGTATTATCTTTATAATCACTATATATTATACCATCTATCACAGATCTTGCTGTAAAGCGAGGTCCTCTATTTCCTGTGGGGGGAAACAGATGAAGCAATTTGCCAAACATCACAGAATGACTCAATGTACAGGCCGAAGAAAGACACTCTGAGAAGAAGACATTCTTCTCAGACTCCTGTCAGGTTCTCTGTCCACTTGACAACACAATCTCTGCACTTCCAATGTGTTTGCTAATTCCTGCACAAGAGCCCCACAGTCCTCATTGCACATTTTAGGAATACAGGTTTCCCTGACTGCTCACTGCTGGAATCAGCAGAACACACACTGCAACCTTACAAAACAGGGGCTGATCAAACATGCCCTGAGATGTGGCAGCCTCATGTTCTCTCTTTGTAACTTCACCTGGCATGTCCAAAGACACCACGTTATCCCTGTGCAACCTCTGCATGAGCATGCCTGCAATTCTGAACAGGATGCAACAGGACAACAGCGGGTTAGAATGCCTTACCCAGAGCTCTCTTCCACATAAATCAAACCAATGCACAAAAAACAGATGAAGGAAGAAAAGGCAAGATTTTACTGCAAAAGGGCAGTCAGTATATTCCAAGTACAGACTTCTTCACTGTTTTCAAAGTAATTGAAACCACAGTATCGGCATGAATCACTTCAAAAGTCAAACCATGTTACAAAAACACAAATGTACAAATGGCTTTGTGGTATAACATCTGCTTGTCTGCCTTGCCCCCAAACACAATGCAGACCACTTGCCTGAAAACAGTAAAACTAAGAAAATAACATAATGGTTGCAACATTTACAAGGTACTAGACAACTGGCACTCAGTTTGCTACCTCAGTGGCCCACAATACACTAATTTTAATGTAAAAATGAAACAGTTATCCTTTGGATCATGTTGCCC